AAAAAGAGGTGGTCTTGTCATACATCGACGATAACAAGCTCCGTGGCCACGTACTCGAGATGCTCCGTAAGCATTCGAGTCTGTGGAGCGGTGCGCTCGGAACGATCCGAGCCACGGAGCACCGCATCCCTTTCAAACCGGGATCGAAACCGATTCGTTCTATGCCCTATCGGAAGGGGCCCGCTCTGCGTGAGATGGTTGCCAAGGAGGTCAACAAAATGCTGAAAGCAGGGGTTATCGAACCCGCGAGCACCGAGTGGGCGTCTCCGGTGGTGCTCGTCCCGAAGAAAGACGGCTCTCTTCGGTTTTGTGTGGACTACCGGCGTCTCAACGCGAAGACGGCAAGGGATTCGTATCCACTGCCCCGGATGGACGACTGCATCGACTCGTTAGGGGATGCAGCCGTCTTCACGACGTTGGACCGAGAAATCCGGATATTGGCAGATCCCCGTCGCTCCGGAAGACCGGGATAAGGCCACGTTTACGACGCACATGGGCACGTTTTGCCACCTGCACATGCCGTTTTGACTAAAAGGGGCACCGGCCACCTTCCAACGTGCATTGGATATTATCCTCTCCAGAGTCCGCTGGCAAATATGCCTCGTCTATCTCGATGACGTCATAGTGTTCCTGCGTACGCACGCGGAACAAGTGAAGCATCTTGACACTGTCTTGAGCTTGTTAGGGAGTGCCGGCATCTCCCTCAAGCTCAAGAAGTGTAGCTTTTTTCAACCGAAGGTACACTACCTGGGGCACGTCATCACCCCAGGTAAGTTGAGCGTGGCCGATACGGCGGCCGACGCCTTCCGGACATTCACGTTCCCGAGGACGCTGACGCCGGTGCGCTCGTTTCTCGGGGTGTGTAACGTATATGGCCGCTTCGTTAAGGGCTTTTCGAAAATAGCCCGTCCGCCGACGGATATAACGTGCAAGGATTCGGATTCTGACTTCTATAATCATACCGAGAATCAACTCCAGGCGTTAGAGAACCTTATGGAGTGCATGATCCCTCCGCCGATCCTCGCGTTGCCTCGGCATGGAAGACCGTACATGATCGACACCGAGGCGAGTGCCTACCAACTAGGCTGCACGCTGCTCCAAGAGCATGACCAGCCAAACGATTGGCGCCCCGTTGGGTATTGGTCTTACTCGCTGACCGACAGCGAGCGGAACTACAGCGCTGCCGAGCGCGAGTGTTTCGCCGTAGTGTGGGCCGTCCGCACACTACGGCCGTATGTACAAAACGAAGTTCACCGTCGGAACGGATCACGACGCGCTGAGGTGGCTCATGTCCCTCACCGAGAGTTCCGGAAGACTCACACAGACTCACCCCAAGACGAAGACAGGAAAACGATTCCCGCTCGTGATCACGGACCGCTTTAGCAAGCTGACGGAAGTCGTTGCGGTCCGCACGATAACCGCATACGCCGTCGCAGTTGCGTTCTGCGAATCATGGGTGTTTAAGTACGGCGTCCCGCGCACGTTGCTGTCGGATAACGGACCGCAGTTTAACGCCAAGTTCTTCCACAGCACGTGCCGTGTTCTGGGGATAACTAATATGTACACATCGGCGTACAATCCCCAGACGAACGGGCAAGTCGAGCGATACAACCGAAAGATCGCGGCGATGCTACGCAACTACGTAGGCGAGCATCAAGATGACTAAGACGTGTACGTGGGGCCGCTTACGTATGCGTATAACTCCCACGTACCCCGCACCACCAACACGACGCCGTTCGAGCTCGTGCTCAGCAGGCCACCGCCAGAGTTCTCGCTTCGACGAGCTGGCGGTGACGTTCCACCTGCCGACAGAGGGAACCAACGTGCCTGGTTCCTCAAGACCTTGGATTCGACAATCCAGAGGGTCTACCGGAGCCTGCGTCGAACGCAGGCTCGCTACAAGAGCGACCTCGATAAGCCCATACGACGGATCAATTCGCGACTCCGTCCGGGAGAGTACGTATACCTCAACCCCACCGACGGGGGGAAGACTTCGAACAAGCTCGCGTCCCCCGCGGTCAGCCCCTACCGCGTCCTCGCGAACGACCGCCGAACCATCACGATCGATCGTGATGGGTCACTGAGCGGGTCTCCGCAGATCGCTGCGTATACGCGCGACCGCCGACGGACGAACCACGGGCGAGCACGATAACCACAGCTGACCTTGCCGACAAGGTCAGAGACGGGACACAGTACGCTGTGGAGCGACGCCTGAAGCACCGTGCTATGGAAGACGGAACTTTCGAGTTCCTCATCAAGTGGGTGGATTACGACACGCCTACCTGGACTGCGCGGACTCACGTCCCGAAGGAGTTAATGTCTCGTTACGCCCAACGCCTCCGGAGACGCACCGGCATGGACCTCGACTCAAACGTGAACGCGGACTTTCACGCTTGAGGAGGGGCCCCCAACCGCTCCGTTTGGATCAAGGTAATCGACCGCGGTTGGACAAAATTCCGATAACGGGAAAAGGACACCTGTCCTCCAACCTCCCCCGACGAAGAAGGAGTCACACGACTCCAAGAACAACACTGGACGGAGATCCTCGAAAGTAACACGCAACCGCGAAGGAGTCGCGGGATGGTAAGCAGTACAGGCTGTCACAGGTCCATCGCCAAGGAATGGCAAATAACGGGGAAAGAACACCGGTTCCTCCAAACCGGCAATGGGGGCGGCTAACCGCAAGGGGGCCCGAACCCCCTCGCCACCAGTGGAGGGCAGCAGCGACCTGCACGAGCATCCGAGCCGCCGACCGACAGCGCCTGGTTACGGAGTAGGGTGCGAGAAACTGCGCCTCTTAGGGGACGCGAACGACCCAGGAAGGCCCGCCTCGAACGTGTGGCGGTAGGGTCAGGTCGCGTCGGTTGGAGCGCAGCAGCGAGCGGATCGCACAAAACAATGCGCGAGGAGCAGGGCATAGCGTACCCACGCTTGGAGTACGGACAGAGGGAAGACGGGGAGGGAGCGACCCAGTCACGAGGGTAATATGCGGATCGAAGACGCGCCCCCTCTCTACAGTCAGCCCGCAATCTACGGACCGCTTACTGTACCCCCAGTGTCGTCCTTTGGACAAACCGCCACCACCAGCCCCGAAGAGTCGAAAATTAGAAGATATTATTGAGGGGCGGTAATTACACAGGACGCAATCCGGCAAGTGCGGGCGGGCGTCGCACTCGTTGCACGCAATCGGCGACAGGGCAACGAAACGTGCGTCGCGCCCGACACTTGGCAATAACCACCCCACGGGCGGGGACTCATTTTTTGGCAAAAATACATTTTCGCGGGAAATTATGTTTTGGGGGATTTAATCAAGGTCAATGGGCTTTTGCGCACGTGCAGTGCTGGACAGCGCGCGCGCGTGCGTGTGGCACTGTAGAGAATGCGCTCCGCAGCAGTTGTCGGACAGAAACGCACAGGCACGCGCGGCCCCTGCCTTCACTACCGGCCCCGCGTCTCCGCTCCCTCCTTCCGCCCGCGCGACGCTTTTCCGCCGCGCGCGCTGACACCGTGCTGCCCTATGCGCCCTCGTCTGACGCCCGGAGCCCTCGCCGCCGACGGCGAGGGGGCCAAGGAGAAATGCATCCGTCGCGCGCAGCGCCCTCGCTGCGGACAGCGAGGGACGCCGAGGAAGAGCCACTACCGCGTGCTATGCCCTCGCCGCCGACGGCGAGGGGCACCAAGGAAAACCTACAAGCAAGGCGAGAGCGCCTACTGCACCACGCACACGGCCGATGCCGTACGGCGCGCCCCCGGCGGCCGCGCATAAATCCCTCGCCGACAGACGGCGAGGAAGACTAAGCATGAGAGCATTTCCCGGGGGTTCGTTCCCCCGCCACGTACGCCAAGGGACACGAACGAAAAGACAGATGTCTAGCGCGGTGCCCCCGCCGCCGACGGCGAGGAACCCAGGGACGATATATAAGCAAGGCGGGCCCGCCGGGGGCGCCGCTCCCACGGCCGATGCCGTACGACGAACCCCTGTGGCCGCGCTCTGACGACCCCCTACGATCGACAGAGAGGCGGGGCGGACGAGACGGGAACGACTTCCCAACACGGAGGGAGGTTGGGGTAAGAAGACTCTCCCCAGTAACCCACCGATGACGCGAGGGATCAGTGTGAACTAGGAACGCGGCGCGAGCGACCTTCCGAAAGGTTCGCGATCGGCGACCGGACGAAACCGACGAAAGCGGGCGCATGCTCGTACACGCATTCTCGTCAACCCCCCCACCTCACGACGATGTGGGTAAATGAGAAGAGAGGAGCGACCTCCACGACTGATCGCCTCAACGGTCAGGTATCAGGACCTCGCCACCGACGGCGAGACGTACCAAGTATAAGAGCAGCCCCGCGCGGTTCCCGCGCCGTTGACGGCGAGGGGCCCCCAGGAAGGACGACGGTCGCACGCCCTGCCCTCGCCGCCGACGGCGAGGAGTACAAAAGGTAAGAGCATCGCCCGCGCCGCTCATCGACGCAGATCCGCGCGCCGGTTCGCCGCCTGGGGGAACAGAAACTCAGAAGGTAGCCGCGCCGGCGCCGCCGATATCGGGGACGAGGACCAACGCACGCCCCTTCCCCTAAGCCTGGGTCCTCCGAAGACCGGGGTCGTTCCGCATGGCACTGAGCCTGGATCGCCAGAGGGCGACGAGCCCCGTACAGCGGCCGCCGCCGCGCTCGACGCGCGGACGAGCAGGCAGGAACCCATACGCCCTGGCGCGTGTTGACACCGCGCGACGCCGTGGTAACGAGAAACGGGAGGGCAACAATTCTTTACGAGAAACGTTCGACAAACTAACTCGAGCGATCATCACGGCTACCTCAACCGGTAGTGTCATGCCCACGTCCCGCAGGGTTATGATCCGAACGTCTCGGGGACAATATCCCGGGTAACGCGGAACCTCGGCGTTCTGCAAGGGGTCCTCCGCGAGCTCGTCAAGGGTTGGCGTAGCGACACGCCGGTACGCGGCGCTCTCACTGTCAGGGGCCGCATGGGCCCCCGAACTATGCGGCCCTGGGGGACCGTTCATCGGAACGGCATAAGGATCGGGTCGTCCGGAGGTCTGAGGAGCGACCCCACGAACTGCGGATTCCCGAGCGTACCGCAGGGCGGCACGCTCCCGGCGATACTGGTCCCGGTCCAATACAGCGCGCTCGTATGCGTCAGCCTGGAGACGAGGGTTGTTCCGCGTAGAGTCGATCTCGCTCTACAAACGTTGCAGCGAGAGAGAGAGCGACGCGCGCTCCCCGCTGAAACGACGAGCCTCATCGCTCCGCGCGAGGAACCAGTTCGCCAGTGTCGAGAGGAGACGACCCACTGTCCAAGCCTGGTTCCCGGTGTGCGCCAAAGCCTGAGCGAGGCCGAGCACAGAAGTGACGTCCTCCCTCTAAAGGGAGAGATCCAGAGCCGCCACCCGAGTGGCAGCGGCGACGGAGGAGTCGTTCAGCGGAGGCATGGGGGAGACTGTCCCCGACGGGACGTGTAACGTGGCTCGCTCGCCCGCCTCATGACGAGGCGGGGTGGAGCAAAACAAGTCGACACCCGCCGCGGCCGAAGGAGGAGCGACGGCATCCAAATCTCGGTACCGCTTGCGGCGGGTCCGCGGCGACACAGAGCGACTCCCGCGCGCCTTCCTCTCTCTCCGGCCGAGTCCGGAGTCGCTGTAGAACGCGACGCGAAGGCGTCCGTCCTCGAGTCGTACACGAGGTACGGGCATGGGATGCCCGTCGTGAGGTCCGGCCAGTGGTGGTAATGAAGCTTGTTCACCTCGTCCGCCCGCGTCATGAGCGACACGACGCCACGGAGCGACCAGTGGGCGTACGCCAGGTCCCGCTCGAGCGGATGCGGCGGGACAACCGGAAGGCTGGGGACGAGTCTTGCCAAGAAGGCCACGGCATCGGAGGGCTGGTGGAACACGCGACCGTGTTCGCTCACCTCAGCCATAAAGGCGCTCCCGAGGGACCATGCCCACTCCTTTGCGCAGTTGTCCATGAGGAGCGGGCGCGCGGGGTGGCCGGGGTCGACCGCGGCGTACCCAAAATGTTTTAACACATAGGGTAGGAGGGGGTGTACCCCGAGAGAGGGAAAAGCCACACGAGCCATCGGTGGTAGGGAGGGAAGTCCCCAGGCGAGAGAACGCTTCGAAAGAATCCGAAGGGAAGACGCGACCGTCTTCTTCCGAAGCGCGTCGGTACGCGGACCAGTCCTGATGGGCTACAGCGATGCCGTGAATCCCCGTCAATGACGCAGCGGACTTCTGGAGAGCCACTCGAGGCTTTTTTAACGCGAAAGGGCGAAGGTATAAGTAAAGACCTGGGACTTCAGCCAGGATGAAGCGGGCGGACTGGTCCGGGTTGATCCCGGATAGATAGGCAGCCATGCGATGAATGTACCGCACCTGGTCGATACCGAATCCGAAGGTGCGGTCCCAGGCTATCTCATTGGGGTTTTGGTAGGCTACGCCGTCCCCCTCCGCGAGAAGCCGGCTCAGAGCCAGCGCGGATTGATCAGCGAAGCCGGCCTCGCTGATCTTACGGATCCGAGAGAGATCGGACCGCAAGTACGGGCTTGCGAGGATTTCGCCCACCGTCACTACGACTCGCGCGAGACGGGCCCACGGGTACCGAAGATCGTCGACGGGGAGTGAGGTGGACCGTTCAAGGGACACGCCGAACAGCGGCTTCGGGCTAGGAACGCTCGACGCGTTCGACCCTGAAGGCAGATCGTCCAGCGGTGACACCCCCGCTCGAGTGGCGTCACGGGCGGCAGGCCCGACGGGACCCGCAGTGATAGCGGGGCACGCAGAACGGCTTGGGCCGCCAACCAAGTCGCCGGATAGCGTGGACTCGTGCGACGGCCCAGTCTTCTGGAAAGGCGAGGTGGCCGACGACGGCATGCGCGGCGGGCGCAGGAAGGGTACGAGAACCCTCCTCCACGTTGCTCACCGCCACCGCGGGCGTGGAAGGTGGCGGTAGAAGGGACTGAGGGGACGTCATACCAATAGAGACAACCCCGAACGTGTCCCGCGAGAAAGGAGTGTCGCCGGAAAGGTGGGCGGGGACCGGAGTAGAGGAGGAAAGAGGACGAGCGCGCCACAAGCAGGGAAGGCCTCGCTGGAGTCGGGACGGATAGGAGGAACAATCGGCGGAAGGAATGCGAGCCGGGAGAGAAAGGTGAGGAACGATGCGCCCGACACGCGCGGAGGTGAGAGACGGACGCAGGCGAGAGGCGACGGGAAAAATGGGGGTCGAGACGGAGAGGAAAACACGAGCCGCCCTACAAGCACATGTGAACGCGGACGTTCCCACTTGTGGGGGGGCCGTGTAGCATAACCCCCCCTGGGGGACTCACTTTAGATTAGATCACGATTGCTTTGGTTACTGTAGAGCCCGACGATCTACAGTACCACCGAGCGTGTCCACGTGTGCCCCAATGTACACGTGCACACGTGTACCAGGCCCGTACGAAGCGCGCTCACACGGGTACCACGGGTACTGTCAGCACCGATGCTGACACCGTACAGTTGTAGAATTATGTCAGCTCCAGCTCCGCCACAATGTTGGAGTAGAATAGCTGTCACTCGTGTACACCTGGACAGAACAGCACGCATGGAGAAGGGGGGAGATAGATGACCGACAGCCTGCATTCATGAGCAACTGTAGACCGGAGAGGTTGGCACGAAATATCATGGAATGGAAGTAAAATAGAAAGAGAATAAAGTGCAGGAGCACGCGGGACCCCGGAAGATGAGAGACCGGACATCGTTGTATTGAGCAATTCTACGTTCTAACCCCTCACGTTTAGCTCTAGCTGCCCAGGCGTCTAAAGAAATTTCTTTCCTGCAGGAGCGATTTGGCAACCAAGCGGCTGGACTACGGCGTGAGAAGGAGAATGTCTGAAAATGAATCTACCGCCGGTCAAGGCGGCAGCGAGGGCGTTGTTGGCCTTTTTCAACCCATTATTCATCCTGTTCTAAAGAGCGTTGACCCAGTGAGGGTGCACGCATTCAGGCGGGATCGAGAAAGGTATGAGACAGAGATAGCCGAAAAAAAGGAGGTTCCTTCTCTTTCCAAGGCTAGCTACAAGGTATCTGTGGACCCTGGATTACTGAAACGGATGCACTTTCTCGGCGAGTTTGAGACAGTTGCACCTGGAAAAGAGTACAGTAGTCTCACTGCTACAGACATACAGAAATTTGTGAAGAGCTTAGTAGAGAGAAAAGATGAGTCGTACGACCAAAACTTAATCGAGAAAGTGCTCAAGGGGCTCCGTATCCCGACGCATATCGCCGATCCTGAAGCACGAATCTTGGAGTTTGCGAGTACTTTCTTCGAGCGAATGGAATCTATTGGTTACGATGATTTCAAGGACGACAACCCTGAAAACCCCGTGAAGCTACTACAGGAAAGGCTGTATCCTCGAAAGTTGAAATCAGTGATGCAGAAAGCCTTAGATTATCAAGAATCGCTGCAATCCGACGTGTCGGGTTACGTAAGATTAGTGTGCACTGAAGCTGCGGCTCACGATAGGTACAAAGTGGAGGTAGAAAGTGTGAGGCCCATCTTGTCTAAAAGCTACCGGGGACCGCCGGAGAAAAGGGTTAAGAGGTACACGGATAAAGACAAATCAAGGAAGGATAGAGGAGACTTTCAGACTACTAAATCCAAGTACCTACATTTTTGTCTCAACGAAGAATGCGCCAAGAAGGGTTTAAGGCGTCCGGTTATGAGATGCAACAATACAAAGCGTGAAAGGGCAATAGAGCTGCTCGAAAACATAAAAGAAAGCTCGACGAAGAGAAGAAGGTAGGGCAGGTCAGCGAAAAGGCACCCGAGGGAACTGAGAAAAGTACTTTAATCAACGCCTCGTTTGCGAATGTGCTACCCAGAGTCCTGTGCACTGACATGGGCTCGGTCATCAATCTCATGAGACCTGAATTGCTCAAAGACTTGACGAAAAAAAGAGCCAAGATGTCGGTCCGACAGTACAGTACACCTCGTAATTTTAATTGGGTGATACTGAAGGGACAAAATAGGGAAGACATTTATGTACGGTGCGACAAGGAAGTGACGTTGAACGTCGAACTTTTCATCAGGCATGGTTTCTACTTAGAGCTACGAAACATGGCGTGGTACGTCGCTACAACTGAAGTTGGAGAGCCTTTGCTTGGTAGACCAGTGCTGGAGGCGCTCGGCATCAATACAAAGGAGCTTCTTGTTGCAGCCATCGATAGGATGGGGCACTCTATTGAAATTGGATCGTTGGTCCCGGATGAGGTCTATCCGAAAGGAAGTGTTGCACGGCTTATGCACCAAGGTATTTTCCACAGCGACGGAGAATATGTTGCCGACCACGGCGACAGCGAGGACGATACGTGGTTAGACCTCGGCGAGGACACCGCATCGGAGATTGACCAAGCCTTGGAGAGGCTGGTGCAAGAGTCAGTCGATAATGGGATTTCGGAGAATGGGAAAGCTCGGTTACGCTCTATGTTGGACCGTTATCGTGATGTATTTCGGCTACGACTTGGAAACGACCCCCCTGCAGATGTTGATTGAACCTATGAAAAGTATGCTGAAGCCGGGAGCAAAACCATTCAAAGCGAAGCCCTGGCGATATAGTGCCGAAGGCAGACAGTTCATGGATCGGTATGTACAACCCATATAAGAATAAGACTTCGGAAAGATCAATACCAACAGTCAGTGGGTATCAGCACCCGTCTTGGTGAAGAAGCCACCTCTAGCCAATTTCAGATTAACAGTCGATTATAGACAAATTAACGCCGCTACGGAACCGGTCACGTGGCCAATTCCCCACATCGACTCGGAGCTTGCAGACCTGGCAGGGAGCAAGCAAGCACTTCGCGTTGATAGATTTCTCAAGCGGATATTGGCAACTGCCCCTGGATGAGGAGAGCCAGAATCCGTTGAGCTTCATGACGCCGAATACGGTCATCCAGCCGAAGCGGTGCACTCAGGGGAGCTAAAAACGCCGGACCCAATTTTCAGTCGCAGGTTGAACCTTTGTTCGTGGACATACGTGTACAGCTCAAGGCGTGGCTTGATGATGTCATGCTGCATAACAAAACTGAAGAAGGTCTCCTGTGTGTTTTAGATAAATTCTTTCAGGTTTGTGCAAAGCGAAACCTAAAAGTTTCAGCTCTGGAGAGCCACTTATTCCTGCTCGAGGTGCGGTGGTGCGGTCGAATTATTGATGGCAATCGGGTTCAATTCGACCACCGAAATCTCAGCGGGCTCCAGGAAATACATTTGCAGAGGACCGCTGGAGAGCTGTGTGAATATGTCCATTGTATGCAATGGATGGCGAACGGTATACCTGATTTCGCAGACAGAATTGCACCACTCAAGCAAATGCTCCAGGAAGCATATACTCAAGCAGGTTCGAGAACAAAGAGGTCAATCAAGAGCATACATTTGAAAAGTCTTTCTTGGAATAGAGGCCACGAGGAGCTGTTTAGAGATTTTCAGGACGAGCTTCGCGAAACAGTTCAACTTTCATACCGAGACACCAATAAGGCGTTATGCGTCTACACCGACGCTTCTGATGCATTTTGGGCTGGCGTCGTGACACAGTGCCAACCCGGAGACCTGAACAAAGACGTTGGAGAACAAAAGCACGAACCCCTAGCATTTTTGGGTGCAGCTTTTAAGGGCGCCGAGGAGTGGTGGACGACCATCGAGAAAGAAGCTTATGCAATATATCAGGTGTTTCAAAAATTAGACTACTTATTCTTGTGTGAAGAAAAGACACATGTGCACACAGACCATTGGAACTTACTTTTCGTTTTTAATCCTCTTGCCCTAGACACCACACTTGGAAGGCATATTGTCAACAAGGTACAACGATGGGGACTATTCCTATCGCGATTTTCATATGTAATTGAACACATTGAACGGACAAACAATATCATGGCAGACATCCTAACTAGATGGTGCCGTGGGTGCCGTGGGTACCGAGGAAAAAGACTGGCAGTGAAGCGCATAACACATTTGCTTTTGGAACAAGATATATTAGAGTCGCCAATGGACAACGATTTCGAGTGGCCTACAGTACCAATGATCCGGAGCTGTCAGGAAAATCATAAAAACGACAGAGCCAGTAACGCGAACAGGGACGCCGAGGATGGTTTGTGGATGATTGCAGATACAGTATGCGTGCCTGATGCAGCAGCCGAGCTACAGCTGAAATGTTTGGTCGTGGCACACTGCGGTGCCAGCGGCCATAGATCAATCGAGTCCACGGTCAGTGTAATGAAGGGCTACTGCAGTTGGACGTTTATCAAGGAAGATTGTGCTGTGTTCGTCAAGAGTTGTATACACTGCTTGACAGGCAAGACGGGGCACAAGATACCCCGCCCAATATCAAGTACGGTGCACGCCAGAAAGCCAAATGAGATCATACACTTTGACTTCTTGTACATGGGGCCAAGCACTGACGACTACAAGTACGCCTTGGTCATCAGAGACGATTTGTCCTCATACCTGTGGATTTGCCCAGCCATAAATGCAGATGCGGAGACCACAGCACGTGAGCTTGGCAGGTGGATCAGAACTTTTACAGTCATGAACGTGTGGGTTAGTGATCAAGGTTCACATTTCAAAAACAGAGTGATGAATGAACTCGCACACGATCAAAACATCAAGCATCGATTTACTGTTGCCTACTCGCCGTGGGTCAATGGGACTGTTGAGAGATGTATGAAGACTATTCAGGAAGCGTACCGGTGCCTGCAGTCAGAACTCCAATTGGGGCCTCAAGATTGGCCTTGCGCAATCGGAATGATCATGACAGCTCTTAATGAAACGCCGTTGAAAAGACTTCGCATAAGGGCCGACGGTGTATATCGCTCGCCGCTTCAAGTCATGACCGGCATCAAGCCGACACGCGTAGTGATTCACACAACATATCTTGCATAAAATTGGCCACAAGTCCGCAGTTTGGAGAAGAGCAAGGCAATGCAACTGTTAGAGATCAACAAATTACAGAATGATTTTGACAACATGCACCGGGATGTGGAGCGCAGGGTTTCTTCTAATCGTGCAAAACAAATCCAACACCACAACAATAATACGAACATCATCAGCACAATCTTCTGCGTTGGTGATTTCGTGCTCGTACGTCGAGCGCAGAATAAGGGTCATAAACAGTCTTTCCGCTGGATAGGTCCGCGCAGCGTAGCAAAGGTGGTCAGTGAAATCGTTTACGCCGTTGAGAATTTGGTGACTCACCAAGTGGAGCAAGTACACGCCGCCCGGATGATACTGTCTCGCGCAAAAATGGATGGCAAGAAAGTTTCAGCTAAGTTGATGAAGCATGCTGAGCATAGCGAGGCAAGATTTGAGATGATCGAGAAGTTAATGGATGTAACAGGTACAAGAAAAGAGGGGATCTGGATCCAAGTGCAGTGGCTCGGCCTTCCGGATAGGCGAGATTGGACTTGGCAGCCCCTAAAGGAACTGTTTGAGGACTGTGATGCAAGATCGATGGCTCGGTTTACTGTGATCGCGTCTCTATCTACCTTATGTAGGGATGGTAGCGATCCGTAGGCCGGCGGCGATCGTGGTGAGTTGATCGCTGTTGTACGTGTGCAACGTGTGTGTATATGGCTCTCATGACTGCTGACGCATTGCTGTTGCGGCGTCGACGTTTGTTTTTATGGCTCTCATGACACTCCCCCTGTCGACGGCGCTGCAGTTTTGCCGTCTGCAGTCGTGTGGTTTCTGAGCTGTAGTTTGGGGAGGAGGCGCGTGTATGCTTGACGACGCAGCGGTTTTGTGAGGATGTCCGCGAGTTGGTCGTCCGTGGGGACATGTGCAATGGCAATTGTGCCCTTTTGAGCCTGATGCGTGAGGTAGTGATGCCTCAGATCTATGAATTTTCGCCTCTTCGTCGGTCCCGTGCTGTTGGCAACGTGGATGGCGGACTGGTTGTCTATCATCAAGGGGGTCGGGGATTGCGGCAGCATGTGCACATCCTGTAGCAGACGTCGGATCCACGTGGTCTGCTGTGCGGCGGAGGTGGCCGCAATATATTCTGCCTCACAGGTGGATAAGGCTGTGATGTTTTGCTTGAGGGACCCCCAACATATCGGTGTGCCGTTGTATGTGTGGAGGGTCCCCGATATGGACTTCCTGTCCGTGATATCGGCAGCGAAATCGGCATCGGCATACGAGACAAGGAGGTTCTGGGGTTTCTCTTTGTCTGCTTGCTTGCCGGCTCGGAACGTGAGGCCTGTGTTTGGTGTGCCCTTGAGGTACCTTATCAGGCGTTTTAGTGCGTTCCAGTGCCTTTGTGTCGGGTTGTTGGCCGCTACTGCTAGTCTGTTTGCCAGGAAGTAGATGTCTGGTCGCGTCGAGTCAGCGACATAGCGTAGGTCCCCAATGATCTGCTGGTATTTTTTGAGTGTGTGCAGTTGGGTCTCGTCTTTGTCTGTTGGCTTGTGGAGCAGGACACCGTCGCAGTATGGGGTGTCTTTGGCATTGCATTTGGCCATGTCCACTTGCTGTACTATGTAGTTGATGGCGTTGGGCTGGGAGATGTGAATGTCTCCATTTTGGTGTCGTGTCACCGTCCATCCGAGAAAAGTCCTGTGTTCCCCTAGGCGTTTGATGTTGTACGCTTTCGCTAGGGCTGCGGCGAACTCGTCTTTGAGTTTCGCGGTTGAGGCGAGTACTGTGAAGTCATCCATGCTGACAGCAGCAATTATATGTTCTTTGCCTTTTTTTTTGGACCAGAGGCACAGGTCTGCTTCGCTTTGCTTGAAGTTGGCTTTTCGTAGGAGTGTGAAGACTGCAGATAGGTATGTGTGGCCGGCGGATGGCGTCCCGTATATGTTCATGTTTAGTTTTCCTCCTTGGCAGGCATGTTTGTATGTGCCATTGAATCTGGCATGCTGTCTCACATATACTGTTTCACCTCCGTTGTGCGCGAATTTTTCGTGTAGGTACGCTGACTTGATATCGATGTGTTCGATGTGCATGCGGTACTTGGCCGCTATTCCAAACATTGCGCGTACTGTGGTCTTGTCGGCCATGTACGTTGTAGTTTTGGATGGGTCGTAGTGCTTGTGTGGTAGCATTTTGTCCCCCCTTGCAGAGCATCGGGCTTTTCTCGATGCAATTTGTCCTTTGCTGTCCCTCTTGTAACGATATCCCATTTTTAGGGGTATCAGTTTCCGTTTCTTGGGGATTTCGGAGTCGGGTATCCACTGTACTACGTTCATGGCGTCGAGGTTGTCGAGTTCGGCGTTGTGGGCTTTTTCCCATTCGGCGGCGTCGGGGTATTTTTTAGCCTGTCCGGGGTGAGCTGGGGCGGGTGTGGTGCCTGTTATCTCTGTTGGCGTGCGATGCGGGGTGAAGGCTTTCGTGGCATATGTGCGTGAGGCTACAGGATCGGTGGTGCTGTGGTATGGTTGGAAGTTGACGCATCGAACTCGTCGTGGTCTGTTCGTGTCGAGTTCGAGGACCATGATGTGGTTTTCGTCGATGCCATGGAGGTACCTGGCGGGTGTTGCCCTGTGGGCTAGTTTTGATATTTGTTTCCGATTTGCTAACTCAGGTACTGTACCGAGCTGTCCGAACAGCAGGAATTGCGGGACGTCGGGGGTGGCATTGGTCCACATGGTGTAGGGAAGGGTGTTGATCCCGTGGTGGAGTATATTGTTGTACTTGAATGCAGCGTCCCTTACTGCGTCTTCCCAGTGCGTCTTGGGTAGTGAGCTGTGGTGGAGGGCGGCTCTGGCTGAGTTCATGAGTGTACTGTTTATCCTTTCCGCGATCCCATTTTGTTGGGGCGTGTGTGGGACTGTAGTGCTGTGCATGACGTTGTGCGATCTGTATACGGCGTTGGCGCTGTCTGATACATATTCTTTCGCGTTGTCTGTGTGGAACAGTCTCGGTTTGCACCCTTTTCGTTTGTTGAGGGCTGTGAGGATGACATCCAGCCTGTGCGGTGTTTCTGCTCTTGATTGCAGGAAGTCGACTATGAGGTAGCGGGATCGGGTGTCTATTACTGTGAGTATGTATTTGTTGCCTTGCCTGGATGTGGGGTTGAATGGTCCACATATATCGCTGCTAAAGGCGGCTCCTACTCGGTAGTTGTGCGTCTTGGGGTAGTGCGGTGCGGGCTGCTGCTTCGCTGCAGCGCAGCTCGAGCAGGTGATCCGCGGTGGTCGTTGCCTGAGTGTGGGCGGGAGGTTTGGCAGGAGGCCGAGTTTGGCCATTTTCTGGAGCGTTGTTGGTCTGATGTGATTGAACAGTACATGATAGTGGTGGAAGTCCCTTTCTACAGCTGGGTGTGCTGGGGTGTGCGGTGGGGGCGCTGGGTTGTGCATTTGGTGTAGTGGGATTTTTTCTGCGCGTGGTGCGGTGTGGCCACGTGCTAGTGTGCGGCTTGGCTTTGGCGTCGCTGTCTTCTTTTTTTGTTTTTGGATTTGGGGCTTTTTTGGTTTGGGTATCGGGTCTTTTGGAATTTTTTATTGACCGTGGTGGTATGGTCCGGGCTGCCATGCCGTTGCCTTTGGTTTTTGGGAGATCGAGGTAGTACATGCCTTTCCTGAAGCGTGCTTGCGCTACTATTTGTGGCGGGTGTGTGCTCGTGTCGAGTACAGTGGCCTGTGTGGGTGTGAACCGGACCTCTCCCCATTGCTCTGCTATGTCGTGAACTGATAGCAGGTTGGATCGCATTGCTGGGTTGGCGATCGCTGGGACTCGTATGTGCCTATTCGTACTGGTCCGTATATGTATCATCCCCTTGTGTGTGGCGGGTGGCGTGATGTTGGTGGCCGTGTTAGTTCGGATGATTTGTCGGAGTGGTTTCATGTTCGTCGTGGGTTTGCGAACATGTGACGGATGCGCTCCTGAGTCGAGGGCATACTGCTTACCTTCGCATATGTCCTCGTCAGTCACCTGTTGCGCGATTGTGTCGTCGTGTTCGTCGCGGGTGCTGGCCATTTTCCCGGTGGTGGTTTTGGGCGGCAAACGTGTTTGCCGAGGGGTTGTGCGCTTCTTATCGGTATTCGTGTACCATTGTTCCGCATTTTCCCTTGTGGCTGCATTGCCGCGTTGGGGTTGGTCGGGGTGGGTCGTTGATCCTCTGCCTTGCCTCCGGCTGCGAGTTCGTCGTCTCATTGCCTGGTAGTTGGGGCTGTCTGCCCATTGGTCTGTCGTGTTCATGCCTTGTGGACGTTGTTGCCTGATTTCCTGTTTTTCGTCTTCTCGAGCTTGTATGGATTTGAGTCGTTGGACGAGGTTGGCTATGGTTGTGGGGATTGTGTTGTTCGCGATCCACATGTCGGGTAGATGTCGCAATGCCGGGTGCGAGTTGAGGCCGTGTATGATGAATTCTATCGTGACAGATTCATCATGTTGAATGCTGGGGTACTCTGCGAGACACATTTTTGTCCGTATGGTTCGGTGTGCTGCGATGTATTCATCGATGTCCCCTCCCGCCTTGATCTTTGTGCGTTGTGCTTCTTGTTTGAGGATGAGGTGTGTGGTTGGCGTTGAGTCAGTGAAGTGTGTTTTGATCTCTGCCAGAAGCTGTTGAGGGGTGACGCTGAGGTCCATGTCGATTGTGCTTGCCAGATCCGCAGGGAGGCTGGTCATGATGCTCATGCGTAGGAATGCACATTTTCTGCGGTATATGGAATGGTACGGGCTCGTTACTGTGGGGGGTGGTGAGCTTTCATCGAGGGCTGCCTCGACGTTGTTGATTATGGCTATGTCGTGGAGGGTTTGCGTCCATAGCTTGTAGTTCGTTCCGTCGCTTGCGAGTGGAGGTAGCTGTCCATGCATTCTTGTGTCAGCTTGAGGCATTGCGGGTGCTATTTCTTGCTGGTTTGACATTTGTGGGCGCTCTGCAGGTGTTGTCGGGGCGTGTTGTGTTGGCTCTACGGGGGTGATCGGAGCTTGGTGTTGTGGCTCTACGGGTGTGGTCGGAGCGGGTTGTGTTGGCTCTACGGGGGTGATCGGAGCTTGGTGTTGTGGCTCTACGGGTGTGGTCGGAGCGGGTTGTGTTGGCTCTACGCTTGCTGGCGGAGCTTGTGGGGTTGGGGCAACGGGGCTTTGTGGTGCCGTGCTCTCGTTGTCCTGATCTCGTCCGGGTGGTCGGTATACGAGATGATCGTCTTGTAGTGGTGCGTGGTTAGGGTCCATAACCTGTGATGCAAGATCGATGGCTCGGTTTACTGTGATCGCGTCTCTATCTACCTTATGTAGGGATGGTAGCGATCCGTAGGCCGGCGGCGATCGTGGTGAGTTGATCGCTGTTGTACGTGTGCAACGTGTGTGTATATGGCTCTCATGACAAGGACGTACCGGATATGGTAAGGGAGTTCCTGGACGCCACAAAAAAGAATCGTGTCGCAAGAGAAGCAAAGGCAGAACTAGAGCTGCTCAAATGATGTCTTCGCTGCGCAAAGCCATTGGGCGATGTAGAATTATGTCAGCTCCAGCTCCGCCACAATGTTGGAGGAGAATAGCTGTCACTCGTGTACACCTGAACAGAACGGCACGCATGGAGAAGGGGGGAGACAGATGACCGACAG